TAAGCTACACACAAACGTGCAGTCTATTTTTGAGAACATTGCAGGCAGTGTTTCGCCCACCAGCTGCGACCGTGGGGTCGCGAGTGACATTGTTACTTTACTATCAAACTGTGCGGGTTTATGAAATGGAAAGTGCAATATAGTCATACATAATTGAGTTATGTCGGCAACATCAATTGCTAGTTAACCGTATGAATATATAATTTACATCACGTTACCTAAACTCGCTGACACAAGTTGTGTTAACGTATCACCTGAGAGCAAGCTCTCGATATATTAGATTTGAGAAGCTCGCGCAATGAAGTAGAAGTAAAAGCCGAATTGTTTTAAAACTTTTTATCTTTTTAACAAAATCAATTTGGCACTACCGTAATGCCCCAAAGCCATTATATTATCACAAAAGTCAGGCTTTTGGTGGCTTGCTATCCAGTTTGGAACTACTACTAAGATATGTGGGCTATTCCGAGAACTTTTCAAACCAAAATTTCAACTTGTCAGCTTCAACTTCTCAGACGACATTGCAAATTGATGAACTACGGGATATCATTGCTTCGCCGCTTGAGCCGACATTCATTTCGGTTCAAATCGGTGTGAAAATGAAAATTGTTTTGCATTGGATTATCAAGAGACGATATTATTTGTATCATACCCAACATTTCGGGAGTGTTAAATCATCGGGTGAGCGTCAACATTTAAAAAAGGGATCAAGGCGGCATAGTTGATCTGAGTAATAGAAAAGTAATGTCTTTAGTTGTTTATACAGCTGGAAGTTAGTCTGCCTGAACATGGCGACACTGTTACCCACAGTAGATGAAAAATTCAGCCTGTGCAATACAACTGCTAGCCTGGAGTCTTTAACGTGCATCACGCAGTAGTGGTACGCGACCGCACGCCGGTACGATGCTCAACCAGATCGAAATGGTTGAAGATTAGACAAACCCATTGGTGTTTTTGCCAGGGCAAGGAAAGATGACGAAGCTATGTACCTGAGTTGGGTACGAAGTGTAGTTCAACATGGGCCTCGTGCAATGAAGACACCCCCCCCCCCCCCCCCCCCACAACAATGTACTCTGTCTCCCCTTAAATTACTAAAATGAAAGACAATTGTGAAATGGAAAACAAAACTGTCGACATTTGCGCTCGTGCAGCGGAGTTCTCCAACTGCAGCTTGGTTTAATTTAGTGAAGCGATTGACGCGTTTGTGCCCATACCCGTGCAAACTGGTGTTGAGAACATAGCCGATGCTTAGTTCCATTTTAAAGTAAACAGTACGGGACAACGGTTGAATCAGTGAAAACTAATGGCAGTATACGCCACTCATTTTTGCAACATACCTTGGTCACGGTTTGAGCTGACATTATTAACGGACAGAGGTTGTAACACATTACACATGATGATCATATTCATGGTTTTTAGGGCGCAGCATCAACGTAGTGCGTACTGCGTCATAGTTAGGGTTCCGTGTTTTCGGAGTTTATTTTTTGTAAAATTCGGAAGGTGTTTTTTCGGAGTTTATTTTTTGCCGAAAATTGGGAGTTTATCGGAGTTTATTTTTGTTTGATTCCCAATTCTCTGAAATTAGGAAATTAATTTCGCAGTGTTTCTTATTAAAGCTAAATAAATAATATGCAAATGTAAACGTATGCTGGACAAAAAAATGCGATTGTATCAATTATTTTCTTCAGTTGTATTTGGAGTTGGTGCCATTACTACTGGCAATACTAACTCGTCCTAACGACAAAAGTTGCACACAAGTGTTGCTTCGATAAATGTCGATACCTTAAAATCAATAAATTTCTGGAGGTAGTCGCCGGGAAGCTTGTATTCGCCATACTATTCCATCAACCTACCGCGCGGCCGCATGAGGTAGATGGTAAAGGATGTAGGGAGGCACTCACTTGATCGAATGACATTTTAGCGAACGCCCACGTTTCACCGAATGACACTTTAGCGAATAGTCGGACGCCGCGAAGCGTCGTTTTTGGGTGGGCCAAATCGGTTCACATTTTTGTAATGAGTTGCCGACTCATTACAAAAATGTGAACCGATTTGGCCCACCCAAAAACGACGCTTCGCGGCGTCCGTTATTCGCTAAAACGTGTAATTCGCTGCAAACGTCGGCGTTCGCTAAAATGTCATTCGCTCATGTGATATGGACCCAAGGATGTAATAGAGAAGTTTCAACTGTCCCTCTTCCACACTTCATGCAATCTCTCTGGTCCATAGCTTTCACTGTTACAAAAACACAATCTCTCCTTCCTCTAAGGTGACTTTTGTCGCGACCCAAAAGTACAATGACCCGATCCTGATAGAAATTTAAAACAGAAGTGTGGTGGTATTATCCCAGGACCATTGACTCTACGCGCCGATGAAACCATTAATTGTAGAATACGTGTCTGTGTGCGTGCCGCTATGTGTGTGTGTGTGTGTGGGGGGGGGATTGGCACATCGAAATTCGGAGTCTATGCGATAAATCCGATCGAACTAACTAATATTTTACCGGCGGGTGTTTTTCGGAGTTTTTCGGATTTGTCCAAAAACACGGAACCCTAGTCATAGTGAATGATTAAGAAACCAGTTTACCTCAGTAATCATATTAAAAAGAAGGTAAACTTTAAGTCGAAGAATGCTAGAACTCGTGTAATGAAATCGTATACGAAATGAAAGCAACAACACAATCAAATGGGACTAGTGGATGCCCTCCTCTAAAAGGACAGGGCGAGAAGAGCTGTGCGCATAAAAGTCGTGAAATTAAGTGCTCAGGTTCGGGCTCAAAAGCCGGACAGAAACATTCGGATATGCCGCGTTCAGACGCCAGGGGTTGATCTTCTCCACAAAATAAATATTTGCAAGTTTCACAATGGGCACTGCTCAAGCGGCATATAGCAAAATCTTCATGCATTCCGTTGTCGAGCGAAGTTCTCCCCTACTCCGAGAATCCACAAAGCATGCTTTGGCCAAGCGTTTTACCTTATTGGTTAAATAGTCACGAGGTACTTGAAAATTACCTGGCGCGGTAGCAAGTTCGTAAGCTTACTGATTGCCTCCTAAGCTAATGAAACAAGGCACTAAAAAGATAATAATAAGTGTTGTATTTTTATACAACCGGAAGTTAATGGTATAGTGTAACCATGTAAAATGCAGCTCATTTTATTTCGTTATCTTTCCACGAAACACGTATAACACTATCACGAATAAAATTGCAGGTATTTTTGCTCCGTATGATCCTTGGAGTAACTTTATGCACTTTTCCTCCATAAAGTTCAGCAACAAAGTGCTGCAAATAAAAAAAGTGAAAGCCGTTTACAACGACCTGAAACGTCGAATTAGAGCGCAGTTCTTCAGGAGGAGGAGGGAAGGGTACTAAGGGGGGGGGGCGGGTTCACGTGACCCCCCCCCCCTCCCTCCTCCCCGAGGTCACCGAAGGTACCCGAGGTCCTCCCAAAGTCCTCGGGGGGGGGGGGGGGGGGGGGGGGGGAAGGGGGGGGGGGGGGTCGCGGTTACGTTGACGCCGACGACGACGACGCTCAAGCCGGAAACGGGCGCCTAAAGGCCCGTTCACACTCTTGCGACTGCTTGCGACCTCTTAAACCTGGGTTCCTTAAAACTTCTTAAACCAGAGAACACACTGGCGCCATCTATTGGGAAGCAGTGTAAACTCGGCGGTCCGGCATATTTTTTTTTTTTATTTCTCGCGCAATATCCTTCCTTTTTTGGCTCGAAAAGCTTTTGTCAATGTTATAAACGAGCCTTTCTATGGGTATTACGCACATTTGACCTCGGAAATCCCGCAAAACCTTCGCTTTTGTGAAATGCAGTTCTAGGGTCACCGCATAGATGGCGCCACAATGTCAGTGTGTTCCCTCATTCTAGAAACATTTAAGAAGTTGTAAGAGATCTCGTCTCTCTCAGTCGTACTCGGTCGCAAGAGTGTGAACGGGCCTTAAGAGCTGCGCTCTAAAAAGGTGTTCAGATTAAGTAGATACCGTCCGCTCGATCGCTTCCGTTCCCATCCCACGGCCGCCTGCATTCGCGCTGCGAGTGGCGTTAGAACAATGGCTCTTCACCCCGCGCACAAAGCAAACGAGCCGCCAAGCAGTTTGTCCCTGGTTCGAAGCATATTTGCTTCATGGAGCCCTCACGAAAAACGTCCAAAGTTCGACTGCAACGAATGTGCTATCCTTTCGGCAGCAGTGCGGCAGGCCAGCGAAGCAGAGTGGGGCGGTTGTGGGACAGACCCGACAAGTGAAGTATCGTGGCTGTCAGTATAAAACCAAAAATAACCACCATACTCCTCCAGCTCTAGGAATCCTCGTCCAATGACTATGAAATAAAGACTATGCCTTCGCACTTTCTGAGGCCAGTCTAGCAGACTAGCAGTGCTTTCCAGGAAGCTAACAACTGTTGATCAAGTGTTGATAAAAAAAAACAGAAGTGAGGTACACAGACAGCAAACTTAAAACTTGTCGCTCAACCTTTGCAACGGGACAGGTTTACTGTTGCAAGGTTTTAGTCATTTTTTGTCAACATTGTTTCATCTGTCGGAGCTTTCGTGTTTGTGCCTACGTACTGCACCTGCATTGCCGTCGTCACATATGTATGTTTCAGCAGCTGCATAAAAGAGCTGTGTGTATGCTGCAAGAGGTAGTCCTATACGCTAGTTATCTGTCCAAGTCAGTATATTGCAGACAGCAAGTGACAAGTGCTTCAAGTCGCAACCGAGAGAGCTGTACTAAAGCAGGGATTGAGAGAAAAGAATGAAGAGTGACATATCCTTTGCTGTGTTCAGGGGGCACCCCTATTCCTCTCCGAAATATTGGATGTTCCTCCGTTCCCACTTTGCCACCAAGGACACCTCGAAAGGCGGCAGCATTCAGTTGTGTATTTTTGTAATGTGCTTGGGTACATCAAAGGAAGTTCTTTTAAAAAGCTTGAGTGTGACTTGTCATTACTTTTTGTTGGTGGTTGTTGTAGGTAAGCAGAACTTCAAGCACAGTTACTGAAAAAATTCACATTCCTTTATATCCCAAACATAAAATGTACACCAACTACAGAACTAGCAATTGTGGGACCACTGCAATGTACCCGAAACAGACAAATGTTGGCCCACATTATCAAAGATTACGAGCGCACGCTGGTACCCAGCTTACCCAGATATATCTGTCTAAAAACAGTACAATATACTGGCGTTGACAAGCCTTCACAATGTGCTTGAACACCCATGAGAAAACACAGGTGCACCACTAAAAGAATGCTAATAAATAATACTAGGGTACTTCATGCAGATGGCCTTGAAGGGCACGGGTAAATAGTGCTTTTGTTTAAAACAGCAACTCACAAGCAGAGGCGATGGTGACTTAGAATAGAATTTGAATGCTGCACGACATTGCCACAAAAGCTAGTTGGGAGAATGCCTTGCGCAGTATATCTGTAAATAGCTACTTACATGCTCGACATCATAACTGGTAAATACTGGGTACTTTCAAAAGAGCTGATGCAGCCTACTTCCAACAACAAAATGCAGCAAGAGCAAAACATAAAAAATAACTTTACAAAAAATGAGACTAGGCTACAGTAAGCCAACAAGGGCAAAACATGAAAACTGTGTCACAACCAACCAACAGCACAAGGTCATAGTCTCGTACAAAGTTGCGCACAATCTTCTGCAAATGTGACATTTCCGTTTTTTTTTCTTTGTTAACACAAGCTGCATTTCCTGGCAGCGCACATGCTTTACCCATGGCAATAACCATATTACACGCTCCTTTAATGAATGCGGAATAATTTGCCTCCAAAACGCTGTCAGGTTTGGAAGACATACAGGATATTGTATAGAAGGCCAAGTGGTTGCTTCAAAATTACCACCAAAAGTTGTCTCCACACACACAAAAGGCCCACGCCGAGCATGTGGCCGGAATGGCAGCTAGTGGGGGTGCTGCTCTTGCTCTGGGCAGTTCCATATCCTCAGAGGGGAGCAAAGCCGCTTACTTGGTGCGCACTGGTTCAGCTTGTCTGCATTATCGAGTTTCGCTCCCGCCAGAATGACATGGAACAGTCCACAACACACGCCACGCCCTTACCGGATACCGTCTCGGCCATGCACTCCAAGTGGGTCGTTCATACTGGTAGAGACTACGAAAAAAGGACAAGCATTCACTCTACCATCAGATTCAGACTCAACCAACAGCTTTAGCCAAACTACTTATTTGTTCTAAAAAGGCTGCTGCCACCAACTTTTTGATCAAGAAAATGTTTATGGACAAAGACAAGGGAACTTTAACAAGGTGTTGAAATGGGCGAGTTTGTAAATGTTTGACATGGTGGGTGTAACAGCTTCAAAAAATGAGGACGATAAAAGGAAAAGACACGACAGGACAACAGCTGTACTTGCTCGCAGCTGAAAGGTTTTATTTGAAAAGGAAAAGAACACACACGTATGTGTTCTCTTTTCCTTTTCAAATAAAACCTTTCAGTTGAGAGTACAACTGTTGTCCCGTCGTGTCGGTTCCTTTTATAGTCCTCGTTTTTTGAAGCTGTTACACCCACCATGTCAAACAAGGGAACTTGATTGGAGTTTTTCGTCCATATCTAATACAAAAATTTTAAAAAAGAGTGCCATCGGTCGAGATTAGCCATAATGTTCAAATGAGAATGTTTTCCTATTGCATCAACAGCCATAGCATCATCACTTCTTTGAAGAGAAAACATAAGTATTGGTTGAAACAGGACATCTACAAGGCTACAGGCATGACTGCTAAATCCCTCAAGTAAATTGATCTTGGCACAATCTTCCAAAGGATTGCATATATGGAGCAGGTCAGAAAACAGAGTGAATACAAGGTCTTCGATAAATATTGACAGTTTTATCACATTTTGAAGAAGATGTGAACAACCCAAAAAATTTTAACAGCTTCAGGTCTCCCACAGGTCGCATTATAGACAGGTTCAAACCCTGCCTTGCACTTCCAGGTATCCTTGGTCGTGCTGCAGAAGAGATGCAATACCAAACTATTCCGAGCTCAGAAAGCTTTCTGCAGTGTCAGAGAGATACCAACTCCTTCATCTGCCTCAAAGTTAGAAAAGTGTTATGTTCTGATTCGCTTCATTTTCTTACTTTTTTTTCTTTTTTAGCTAGTCTAACGACGACGATGTTAACACTGGGGGAGCAGGACATCGCCCGCTACGAATCACACGTTGGTCCCATCGTCTGCTGAAGTACAACTTGACGGTGGAATACCAGCGAGGAGCGGAGAACGGGGTAGCTGATGCCCTGTCCCGCCTGCCCATGCCGACCGATGAGGGGGGAGTGGACTTCGACGACGAGATCATCTCCTTCGTCGCTCTGGACGACGAGTGCATCACAAAACAACAGCTGCAACAGGAGACGGCGGATGACCCACCGCTGTCATGGGCTATGTAACCTCAGATTGGCCCCTATGAAACAGTTTATCTTCGAATGAGACCATTTTCTACGACCTGCAAGAGGCTCTCTTGTTCAACGACGGGCTCCTGCTCCGTGGTGACCAGTTCGTCATCCCCACAACTATGCGTCACGCGGCAATCTCACGAGCACATGAAGGACACACTGGCCTCGTGGAGACACAGGCACGCCTTCGAGAGCTCTACTGGTGGCCCTGAATGAATGCAGAAGTACGTGCTGCGGTCTCCACCTGCAAGGTCTGCAGTAGCTCGGACAAGACTGCCAAGACGTCGACAACTCCCCTATAGCCAGTGCCCTTGCCAGAGCGACCTTGGTCTAAGGTGGGCATTGACATTGTGGGTCCATTTGAGCGGGCGAAGCCAGCTTGTCGCTTCGTCATTACGCTTGTTGACTACTTTTTAAAGCAGCCAGAAGTCCAGTTCTGCCCAAATGTCACAACCGGAAGGGCGACGGATTTTTCTGCGAGCCATCTTTGCCGGAGAAAGGTACCCAGACAGTATCGCGGTATAAAGCACCACCTGGTTTCTGCTTACTACCCCCTGTCCAACGGGCAGGTCGAACACTTCAACCGTAGACTGAAGGGCTTCCTTCAGTGTGGCGCCATTGAATGAAGTAACATCCGCTCTTCACTCGTCGACTACTTGATGATATACCGCTGCACGCCCCCTGCCACCACTGGACTTTCTCCTGCCCTTCTGCTGCATCGACGCAAGCTACGGACCCGGCTCAACATCCTCGGGCTGTCATCGGCGCAGTTCCTGCAAAATCCTTTCGAGGAGCCGTAATGGCGGCGTCAATGAGTACAGCAGAGGCAGGAACACACCAAAAGGTACACAGACCAGCGTCGAGCAGCGAAGACCCCGAGATTTTGTGTTGGAGACTGGGTTCGAGTGAAGCGACCAGGAAAAGTCCCCAAAGGAGAGCCGACCTTCGGACCACCACAGCGCATCATAAAGCGCGTAGGTCGGTGGATGTTCCAATTGGAAGGCGGTCGAGTATGGAATGCCTCAAAATTCACAGCAGCCCTGAAAACCAACCAAAAAAGCCAGAGGCAAAACACATTGAACCCTTTTAAGAGCAGTCGGTTCTCAAAAGTTACTGTTTCCCCTGCTAGCGTCAGCCACAGGCACCATAACTGGCAGCCACAACAGCCTAGGTGGAACGGACAGCAACAAACTGGGTCGCTAATGCCTGTGTGCAGTCCAGCCTTAGACTCGCCACCAAGAAAGGGGGTTTCGACCGCTCATCCTACACCTATGCCTCTGAGGCGCTCCGGGCATGATCGTCGGCCACCAGAGCGCTATGGGACCTATGCCGCACGATGAACTGAATTGCTTTTCTTTTCGTCATTTTGCTTCAGAAGTAGTAACTTAATATAGAAAAAAAAAAGTGTTGAAACTGTGTGTTGAACAGACCAGTGGATCTCGGTGATCGGAAGTAACTGCGCAAAGCGGTGACTTGTGTTTTGTGTTGTGCGTGTGTGTGTGTGTTGTTTTTCTTTATTTCTTCTTCTTTGATCTTGGCATTTTTCTTATTTTTTTTCTAACCCTAAAAAAAAATAGAGAAGGGGAAAATATTATGCACTTATTCCTCTAGCTTACTCCCCTAAATAAAATAAAAAAATAAAAAAAACCAAGGGAAGGGAAAATGTTATGTTCTGATTCGCTTTATTTTCTTTCTCTTTTTTTAACTAGTCTAACGACGACGACGTTAGCACACGGCACAAGCGGAGTGACGTACATGTCTGAAACTTGGGTATAAATAGTCTGACATGAAACCCCTACTCGACTGGTCATTGCCTAGGCTGCCTTAACATACTTTTTGGCAGGCTGCTTTAACAAAAAGGCCCCAGTCAAAGCATAGAAAAATGCTAAGACAAAATCCAGATGCCAGAACAGCAAAGTGAAAACCCAAAATCAAGAGAAAATTTTGACAAAATCAGAAACTACTTAGTCGGCAGCTCAGAGGTATTTGGCCCCTAAGCAAATACCATTTAGCTTACTGTCACCAAGTTCCAGAGTCAATCATAAGAAAAAAGCTAGGCAAGTTAGCTGCACCACCAACTAACAAAACATAACCACAAGCCAGCAAATGCCCACTGTATTGAACCCATTGATACATCTGAACCAAGCTTTTCATTGATGCACCATCGACGAGCCTACAGGAGCATGAACACTGTGAAAAAAAAAAAGATCTCGCATCTCTGCAACACAGTCAATTTTCCATGTATTACAATGAGAGGCTTTTTCTGATATTACAGAACCACAATTACCCACATACAGGACCCAAGGCCACAAGGGCAAGGCTAACCATCGCCCACAATCCTCCGGTTCATTAAGCAACAATGCGGGATCTTCGGCCTGTTCACTATAGGGCGACGCAACTTTGGGGCACAAAAGACACACTTGGAACAACATCGGACGTAGTATGCCAAATGGCTGTAGGTAAGCCGATACTGAGGCTCAAGTTAAGATTCAGCTAAACATCACTGAACTTCAGCTAGATTGGCTACATCATGTTAAGAACGGCCAAATCAATTGCGAGGATCCGTCTAATGGGTGAAGAAAACATTGGAATGTCTCGTTCTTACATGACTCATCATGAGAGGAACCCCGGACTATAGGAAATGTTTTGAGACCCGACGAAAACTTGGCGTTCTGCTTCGTCAGGAGACACGGGAAAAAACAGTGGCAGGACTCCTTAAGAAAGGGAATGAGGGGTGCCGCACTTCAGGACGACGAAGCCGGGCCGCCCCGAAGACAGAGCAGGGAGCGGCAGGCATGGCTGAAGGCTCGCCACCGCTCGCTTGATGCCTTCCTGCGAGCTGCCCGGCGCAAGAGGAACTGGCGCTCTTTCTCCCGGCGCCGAATCTCTCGCACAAGCGTGTGGAAGACGTCGTCCACGAAGTGACGCAGCGCGGCTGACGTCTCGTAGAAAGGGCAGCTGATCTGCTGGGCCAGGGTCTGGCCTTCTTCTGTCAACACCTGCATGTTGTTGGGGAAAAGTGTGCATTGCAATTTTCCGTTTACTATGCAAGGTTTGCCCTACATAGCGGTCACCCTTCTGACATTGAGCAAAAACTGAGCCATCGAGTGTAGCCATATTGTTAGAAAAAAGAGCTCTTTTCTCGGCAAAAGACAGAGAAGGCAAGAAAAGGAAGCGGCCAAGCCTGGATGATCACAACCGCCATTATTCAAAGTCTTCTCATTTAGTGTAAAAAAAAATCGTTGTAAATATTCATTGCAACATTTTGGTGGAGGTGCGTACGTTTTCCCTACCCAAACCTCACTCAAATGACCTGGAACTTAAAAACCGCCGCCTCGTTTACCAACGGCAATGCCTCTCCTAACCAGTGAAGTTGAAGGTAGTCCGCCGGCACCTAGCTCACCGCTTGTCATTTTGCAACCCCACGACTTCACTGGATTCAGAGACCAAGAAGTGAAGGAGTAGATTCATCTATATGAGCGAATAAGCATCCACGACTGGTGGGATTCTACCATAATGCTAGCGAACGTCATATTTTTCTTAAAAGACACGGCACAAACATGGTTTCTCACCCACAAAGAAACCATCACATCCTGGGATGCGAGCAAGAATCAACTACATCTCTTTGGTGACCCAACTGGCCGAAAGTTCTCCGCCCAGCAAAAGCTTGCTTCTCGCGCCCAGACAGCCACAGAACCTTACATCACTTACACCCAGGACATCCTTGCTTCTGTCAAAAGGCCAACCCCGCCGTGTCTGGCGCCGACAAGGTTGCTCACATGTTATTTATTCATTTATTTATTTATTGATACTACATCTCCGCCTGGAGATTTTGCAGGGGTGGGCAGTGAACAATCATCCCTGACCAAAAAATCAACAGGGTCAGCACTATGCATATTACAACATTTAAAATGCCAACACGTTCAGATGTACATAGAAAAGGAAACTTAACATCACAATACATATCAGGTTTACAAAAAGAGTCCACCGAGCACAAAGCAGAAAAATTTAAGAAAAATGATGACAAAGCTTGCGTACAAATGAACAATATTCGGCTTGGATAACATCATTAGGCAGAGAATTCCAGTCAAGTATTGTCCTGGGAAAAAAATAAAATTTAAATGTGTCTACTTTACATTGGCTGCAGAATGAACAGGCCTAACCTTAAATTTAAATGTCTCTACTTTACATTGGCGTTTGGCAGCAGCCGCAAAGCACTCTGGGTATTCTTCACTTCCGGTTCGTAGCTAGCAGCCGACGCAGCCCCAGGACGGCTATGGAAGCGTGTGCGGGTGTTGAAACCCGGTCAATCCGGGCCACCTTCCTCTTCTACTGGGTGACTTACGCACTTCTGAACATCTCAAGTTACTTCTACGGATATGTTAAGTAGTAGTCGGTACGCAGAAGCATCGAGAACGGCCAAGAAAGCGCGGAGCGAGTGCGGCCGGCGGCAAGCTGCACTCGCACCGCACTTTCCGGGTCTTCGCATGAAAACTCAGGTTAGATTTTTCGTTTTCCTTTTGAGCCAGCGTTTTTCATTTCAGTTCTGTTTATTTTTGATGGTTACGTTAGAACACATCACGACTGAAATAGGTGCGAATGTAAGCCGTAGGACGCGACCAGCTGAAATGCCCGGTCGGAGGTTTGGCGTACTTTTCTCGTTTTGTTAGAACACCTGAGACTGGGTAAGAAAATCTTGAAGCAATCAAAAGTTGATGACAGGGAAAGAAGTCGGTCAGACGGCGTTTCAAACTCAGCTAATATGTTTTCTCGCGCGATTGAAACGCCACTTCCGTGCACAAGTTATTTCGATGACATCTGACTACGTGACAATCCCTGCTTTTCAACACTAAAAATTGGTTTGCTCTGTATGTTTATACAGCCTTGATGGAGATGCGCCTCAACGGGTAATCGGTCTCTTAGCTGTAGATGAGAAATTTATTCAGTGCAGTACAACCACTAACCTGGGATTTTTTACGCGCATAAAGCAGTAGTGATCCAACGAACGCGTGCCGGTACGAAACTCATGAAACGGGCGGGGGCGGTGGGGAACCGAACCCAGGAGGTTCCCAGCGCAAGATTTCGCTCCACGCTCCGAGCTGAGACGAGCTCCTCCCCTGCTTTTTAACATTCACGCGTTTTTGGTACTTCAACTAAGTTTTCCCCCGTAAACTACCCCCTCCCCCCCCCCCCCCCTCCCCCTTCTCGCGTTTTTTTTTTAATGAAGTCGAGTAAGAAAGCATGCATGAACGAGCACCGATTTTGATATGAGCTACGCAAGGTCGTACTACCGCTTTATTATTAGTCAATATGAAGGTGCTGCCCATTTGCTTTTACTTCTTTATATTACAGCAAGCTGACCTGTCCTTTTGTTTATTTATATTATAGTAAGCTACCCATTCACCGCCGCTTTGCGGGAACAGTCTGCGGCGGCTCATTACAGAAAAAGTTAATCCGAGCTGTCGATATAAGAATTAAACGGCCTGGCGATGGCACTGTATGTCGACGAAACGTCATGCCATGAGCTGATTGCCTGCGAGATCGCATCTCGCGTTCTCGCGGATGCCTTGTACGACAAGCAGTGCTCACCCCTTCGTGGATTAATCGAGACCTTTTTGGTGGATGCCAAAAGAGTGTTAGAGATCGTTATTTCCCGCGGCCCCTACCTGAAGAAAGAGAGTACACGTTGTACTGGCCTGTAAGAATATTGGCCGCGCATAAACGGTCACCGACGTTCGTTTGTCACAAGTCACTTCGCTCCATCACTCGCTTAATAGTGACGGCCCATTGTTGCTTCCATTGTTTGTTTCACGGGAACTGGAACATCTTATACCCTCTATGGATTGCGTTAGAACAACGTACCGCGGAACTGTGAACCATTTTCACAGCGAATACAGCACGGCTACCACGCCTAGAAGGGCTCTCGATGCAGCTGGAGGAACCACGACCGGCACCGGACGAACCGGAAACGTGAAGTCACGTGGTGCCTCGCTTCGGATGACGAAACTTCCGGCTCAAACGCCGGTCACCTATTGGCTGAGGTGTCGGTCGGCTTGTCAAGTCCGAGCAGCGGCCATTTTGAATGGCCGACTGTCTCTGGCGAATCGGTGGGTCGCGCTCCAAAAATGCCTTTCAATCTTCTGCTCCTCGATTCGGAGCGGATCCTACGGAGCAGAATTTTGCCTCCCTTGCAGATTTTGGAAAGCGCTTTGGATCTACCAGTGGAATTCACCATGAGACACAAAATCATCTCCTCATTGCAGACGACGGTATTCGCACCTTGGCTCTTGTGGACACTGGTGCTGCCATGTCCATTATGAGAGAAAACCTTAGACGCACACTCCGGAAGGTATTCACTGCCCCGAAGTCCAAACTCCTACACGACGCGGACGGTCATGTTATATCACCCGTTGGAATGTGCGGCACATGAATAACAGTAAACCATGAAGCAGCACACATTATCTTTACAGTAATCTCGAGTTGATTGTGCCACAGGAACAATTGCCGTTGACATTACTACTTAAAGGAGCTGTGCAACGATATTCAATTGGAATGTTTTTCTCTCTACATGAGCTTACTGGCACAGCTGGGACTCAAGGATACTCACACGCAACGCCATTGGCCAAGAAACTCCTTTGTTGCGGTGTAATTTCAAGGACAAAAGCGGTCATTTTCATTCAATCTCTCCTTTGCAAAATTTGATGACGTAACTCGGGGATCGCAGTACACCCAAGTGACGATATTTGAATGCGGTTCATAGATTGGACCCGAGCATTGCGTGGGCACTCGACTTGGGCTCGTGACAATTGCTAGCTCGAGAAGCATTCGGATTGTGACCCGTGTCCAATCGCTGCAACGACGACAACAGCCGAGCCATAACAATGTCTGGAACTCAGCGCGTGTCCTGTGCCTTGCCAACCCCAGCGCGTGGCTATGATCAACACTGGCGGCATATAATCGGCTCCAGATCACGTGGCCGCTTGTTCTGGCTGCGAGTTGAGGGGGTGAACGCTGCTCGTTTTTCTTAAATTTTTTTCTGGGACTTCTATTGCGTGGGGTGAAAAACGAACGCGTGTTTCATAGGTCATTAACGTTAGGGATCCGTTTTAATCGGTATTTGTGCACAGTACAAAAATTGTTGCACAGCTCCTTTAATGCCACCCTTCTGAACCTAACGTCTCAAGATTGTGCACGGTCGAAAGTTACAGGATACCGTCCTTGTCACCATGGCCATCCATGATCAATCAAAATATGCTATTGCAAAAGGCAATTACGTTCTTACTCCAAACAAGGATATATTTTTCTCAAAGGAACTTGCCCTCAAACATTGCATTGTTCCTTTGTCCAATGATGAAACCTTTGTTCGTGTAGTCAACATTGGTCATAGCCCACAGATATTACCCAAGGGGCTTTTGTGGCAACTACTACACTTCTGGATACGGCCAGTGTGTGTGCTCACCACACATATATGCTTAGAGATTTGTTTACAGATGAGGCAACCGATTATCGCTTTTATTGTTATGTTTACGACACGAATGAGGAGCTCGGTAGCAGTCTCAGCCAAAGCAAACAACCTAAAAAAAAAAAAATGATGCCAAATGCTTGTTTAATTTTATAGAGTACTTATCGCTTTCCACGGAGATTAAATGATAGGTGAACATATGTCAGCAGGCTCCTAGGTACTATGCTTATATACCATAAAAGTTCTAAAAAAAATACGTTCAGCCAAAATTAAAAGATAAAGGTGAAATTTACAAGGTAATGTTCAAGGATGCGGCAGCAAAATTTTATTAAAAAATTGGCAGGAGTGCGAGAAGTATAAGTATGTGGAAAATCCCTAGGAAGTCCCCTGTCACAGGTAAGACAGCAGAATGCGGATGCAGCGCATTCGCGCTTCACAGTGCGATATACTTGCAAGAAGCCAAGAGCCTGCTACATACTCAAACGTCACAAAAATCGCAAAAAAAAAACACACACGAAAAAAAAACATGGGTATGAG